GGTAAATCTTATTCACCTCATAGCTGTAAAAAAATCTACTATCCAGACAAGAATGATAGAATACAAGATTGCGCTGATCAGAGAGGTTTTTTTGCGAATAAATTTTGTGTGACGTCACACTGGTGCAATTGCGAGAGAGAAATGCCAAAACGTGAGCAAGAATGGAAGAAGAAGAAAAAATGTTGCAAGGAAAACGTAAACAAGTTGCACAAGTGTGACGTCATGCAAACCACGATTCTGTCAAATTCGTTAAGAGAGGAATAGCGGTCCGAGATCGGCGCAACCTTTGTATTCTCTCAATCATGCTATCCAGAGTACTCTTCTAAATGTGGCGCAAAATCATAAAACTGTTTTAAAATTGGTGTAAAAACTAATAAATCAATTGAAAGATCGAACGAGTTTCACTCCAAAAAATGTTTCTTGACCGCATACATTTTTAGTGCATATCTATATTGTGACTTATTGTAATCATTCAAAATGATGAACAATATCATGGATATGATGAAAAGTAAAGTAATCGTTGACGAGTGCGGACGTGCTTTTACTTAGCTCTGTCGTTATCACTTTTCTTACGATGTCTTTGTGTGGTAATTGCGGTGCGCAGTGTGTAGGTGGTGATGCTGTTGCTTGCGGTCTTTGTTTACACAATTTCCATATTAAATGTGTTAATCTAAACTCGGCATGTTTAAAACTTTTGAAATCCAACAAAAACCTACTATTCAAATGTGACACTTGCTGTTCTGTTTATAATTCGTCTTGCTTAGCCAAGTTTGAAAATGCTTTCCGCGCATTAAAGGAGTTTCAAGACGATTTATGTGGTGAAAAAATCACCCTTAATAATGAAAATGCATCGTCATCTAATCAAGTTGGCATAATTGCTGCTAGCAACAATAACAATGCCAGTAATAGTGATGCTTCAAATAAAAGAATTTTGCGTTCAAAAGCAAATTCAAATAAGGTCGCTGACCTCGTTGGATTGACAGTGGGCACGAGTTCTTCTGCTTCTAGTAGTGCAGAATCGGCTAATGGTGTTGTTGCTGAACTCGCTACTGAGCTTAATGCAAATTTCTCTGCTGTGAGTGATGCTGACCATAACAATTGCGCTTCGCCTGCAATTCAACGCAGCATTGGAGAGGAGAGTGGTTCTAATGTTATTGCTCAGACAGCAGTTAGTGGTTCTCTTAACCTACCTGCTGTCTCTTCTGTGGTTGTGTCTGATAACCTGTCAGCTTCGGGTAATGCTAATGCTGTGCTTTCTCAACAACAAGTAAATAATGAAAGCGAATGTGAAGATAATACTGTGTGGACGAAAGTAAACAACAAACGGCGTAATAACAATGTGGTTGTTGTTGGGTCTAATGTTAGCACGGAGTTGTGTGTAGCTGATCGTATGAAGTGGGCGCATTTGTCGTCATTCGACCCTAAAGTCACTGCTGATGACATTATCAATTATGTGTGTAAACATGTAAAAATTGAGAGAAAGGCTATCTCTTGCTATGCATTAATTAAAAAAGATGACCCAGCAGAAAATCGTACACATGTTAACTTCAGGCTGGGTGTTCTATCTGCCGAGTTTCCTAGTATTCTCGATGCGAAAATTTGGCCTTTGAATGTAAAGGTAAAACCTTTTAATTTTTTTCGGAAACGGGGAGGTCGAACCCAAAGGTCTTAACTGCTATGAATGGAAATGCTTCTCCGGAATCTTGTGCTGAGCTAAAAATCTACTACCAAAACATTTCTGGCTTAAGAACAAAATCGAAGACAGTATTTCAATTTAATTCTCAAGAGGTTTATGACGTGCTGGTGATTGTCGAGACTTGGCTTAAATCGGATTTATATGATAGCGAGCTTTCGATCCTAATTTATACAATGTGTTCCGTAAGGATCGGGATTCCATGAAAACTGGCTGTTCAAGAGGAGGTGGTGTTCTAATTGCAGTTCGACGTAAATTCCGTGCAACAATGGTTGACCTTGGAAATGATGACACCTTGCTCGACCAAGTTTGCGTTCGAATCCAAGGAATGAAATCTCGAAGTTTTCTATATGTATTTGCTTCATATATTCCACCAAATAGTAACTTTGAGTTATACAAAGCGCATGTAGATAATGTAATTGGGCTATTCCTTGATCTTAAAAATGACCATATTTGTGTTCTGGGTGATTTTAATCTCAGTGACATAGTTTTGTGTAGTAAGTCTGATAACGCGCTTCTTTTTCCAAGTAACATTACCGTTAAGCGTGAGTCTTACTGTATTGACAATTTCCTCAATGTAAATCTCATTCAAGTAAACTTTATTTTTAATGATTTAAATAGATTATTAGATCTTATATACATCAGTGATAATGTTGATTTTTGTATATCTAAATGCAGTTCGCCGATTTCCGAAGCTACTATGCACCATGTGCCTTTAGAAATCGGGCTAAAATTTTATGTTTTTTCGGAAATCGTGGCTGATGTAAGTAGTGACTTCGATTATGCGTCTTGTGATTTTCCAGCTCTTAATAAGTCGATTTCTGAAATTAATTGGGATGAACTTCTTTTGGACTCGGAGGTTCATAGCTGCTACTCAACTTTTAAATTAAAAGTTAATGAATTCTGTTTAAATAACATACCTATAAAACGAAAGCGATCTTATAAGTCACCTTGGTATAATAGAGCTTTAATGAATTTAAAAAACATTAAAAACAAATACCTTAAGAAGTTCAAATCAACTAGAATCCAAGCATTCTTTGTAAAATTTCAGCAATGTCAGAAAAAGTTTAAGTCATTAAATAATCTTCTGTACACAAAGTATATAATGAGTACTGAGCGTAATATCAAAGCTAACCCGAAATCTTTCTGGGGCTTCGTAAAATCGAAAAAAGTTTCTAGTATACCTAGTTCATTATTTTTAGATAACAAGTCGGCTAATACTCCTGTTGAGGCCGCTAATCTTTTTGCGGAATATTTTGTCTCTAATTTTGTTGAAGACGATGTGATTTCTCCTGACTTTTCATCTGAAATACCCCCTTCTATTAATCTAGGGACTTTGCATATATCCTCTGATGAAGTTTCAAGGGCGATGCTTTCTCTCAATACTTCGCCAAAATCGGACGTAGACGGCCTATCAGCTCTTTTTTTAAGAGCCTGCCCAGCGTTGTCATATCCTTTAAACTTGATTTTCAACAAATCCCTTTCTTCCGGTATTTTTATTAATGAGTGGAAGATAACAACAATTACGCCACTTTTCAAAAATGGTAGTAAAAGTAATGTTCGTAATTATAGGCCAATTGCAAAACTATCAAATATTTCGAAGCTGTTTGAAACTGTTGTTAAGGACAAAATCTATTTCGCTGTAAAATCATTACTAAGCCCATACCAACATGGATTTATTTCTGGGCGCTCGACAGTCTCTAACTTAATGGTATTTAGCGATTTTTGCACCTCAGCGTTTTCGATTGGCTCGCAAGTGGATTGCATATATACTGACTTCTCTAAGGCGTTTGACAGAGTCTCCCACAGGATTCTGATCAGTAAGTTAGCTTGCCTTGGCTTCCATTCATCCGTTTTGCAATAAATACCGTCATATCTATCCAATCGTCGTTGTGCTGTCTCAATTGATTCCTCAACTTCGGACTTTGCTGCCCCTTCTGGGGTTCCTCAAGGTAGCATTTTAGGCCCTCTACTTTTTGTTCTTTTTATAAATGATATTGGAAGTTGATTTACCTTTTCAAATTATCTTCTTTTTGCTGATGATTTGAAAATTTTTACGATGGTTAACAATATGGAAGACTCAAGTAAGCTTCAAAGTGATTTGAACAGTCTTCATTTGTGGTGTGAAAAGTCGCGGCTGTCGTTGAACATTGCTAAGTGTTTTCACTTAACTTATACTAGGCGTCTTAATGCTACATTGATAACTGTGTTTTAAACAAAGTTTCAGAGACTAAAGATCTTGGAGTGGTTTGCGAGTCAAAGTTTTCATTTAATAATCACATAAATTTCATTCTTTCAAAGGCTTATTCGGTATTGGGATTTATTCGACGTAGTTCCACTGATTTTTCTGATCCATACACTTTTAAGCTGCTTTTTACTTCTCTTGTACGCTCCAATTTAGAATATGCAGTAATTATCTGGAGACCCTATGATCAACAATCGATAAATAGGATCGAACGGGTTCAAAAGATATTTCTAAAGCATGCATTGCGTTCTTTACGGTTCGAGGATCCAATGCCACCGTACCAATCTCGGCTATTGCTTATTGATCTATGCTCTCTAGAGAAAAGAAGGTCCATTCTAGCTCTCTCGTTTATTTTCAATATAGTTAATGGCAATGTCGATTGTCCAACTCTTCTAGAGCGAATAAATTTTAACGTTCCGCAAAGAAATCTGCGAAGCTTTCTTCCTTTTTACGTTGCTAGTTGCAGAACTAATTTTGAAAGTAATGCACCTATTACGCGTGCCTTAAAAGAATTTAATGACTTATCTTCTTTTAAATTAATCGATTTTTCCTTATCAAGATCTAACTTTGTGTTGATCTTAAATTCTATTATTTGATAAGTATGTATTAAATATAATTATTATTGTTTCTTTAGTCTGTAAGGTACTTTGTACTGTAGATTGAAAATAAATAAATAAATAAATAAAAGTTATGTAGGTACAAGTTGCTGATGCATTTACATGTGAATATATATTTGGTTTTCCAAAATGATGAAAATTAATTATTACTGTTATAAAAACATAAATTAGAACTAAATTGAAAAAATTGTATTATGGAACGATTTTCCGTCATATTGAAAATGTTCCCTTGTCCGGCATAAAA